AGCTTTAATCAGGCAAACACTGAAGAACACTTTCAGAAGCAGCCTGAATTAATCAGGAAACAGGCACTTAAGAAGCAGATAAAGATTACTGAGCTCAACATGAAAAGATGAGCTTTAGTCAAACTCAGCAAAATCTCACCCATCTGTTCAGCCTTCAAACATGAAAGTAACTGAAGAGTTCCCTGGACAAACATTTACCCATTATGCAAGGTCCCACAGTAAACCCCCAGCTCCCTGGCTGTAAATGCTTCAGGTTCAGGGAGTTCTCTGTGGTCTGGTAATTCTGACATCGCAGTAGTAATGATGCCTTCAGCACTTATCAGCTGCTTGGCAAGAGGAAGACACGCAGCTTGCAAAGAAGTACTGGCTGGATCTTTGGACTCCCTTATCCCAGCATCTAGACAGCAGAAGGGAACTCACACTGCAGACAGGGAGAAGAGATCTTGCAATCTCTTCCTGAAACATTTCTACATGGATCCAGCCCCAGCATGCTGCCAGCGGCCATGCAGCTTGCATGACAATTCTGGCCCCACATGTGGCAAGAAGCCAAGAATTACTCACATCACAGGAACACCTGCCAGATGTACAAGAGTGCTGAAACAAACAGGTTCAGAGCTTGCAAGCACAGCAAAGACGCTCAAGAAAAAGGCTCAAGGGTTAGTACAAAATCTAATCCACAAGTCCTCCAGGGATCAGGAGCGTTACCTCCGAGAAATTAGCTATTTGCCACTTACTAGCAGTAGGGACTGGGCAGGAAGGGACCACAGTGCAGAGGTCCAAGGCCATCGCCCAGCCTGCTGGGAGTCTTTCTGGATCCCCAACACTGGCACTCCTGGAGAAGGCAGCCTTGTGGGAAAGTAAAGGAAGCTCTGACAGAACACCTTGCCAGATTTCAGTAAAAGAGCAGGGCTCTCCCCAGTGACAGACAGAGAGGAGCCCTACCACGGCTTTATTTTGGTTTGGCTGCTTTGTCCACACACATGGGGAAGTGGCTGAGGGTCACTGAAGCAGCACAAGCCAGTGTTGCCAGCACAACACAACCCTATTGGTACAGCACAGCAACTCTGCAGTACCAGGAAAGTATTCCCACAAGAACAACAATCTGATTGTGTAAAGCTTCGGATTTAAGACACACAAACAAAGCACATATACACAGAAACATTAAGCTTCTAGTTTTGAGTCCTCTACTTGGAATTTATGACGTATGAGCAAAACACAGGCCTCCCATTCCTGAACTAGCACCCAAGCCAGACACCGTTACTCCTCCCAAGTTTGTTTTGCCTCCCACAAGACAAATGAAGGTACACAGAAGATGTTTCAAACTGAAACCTACCCCTGCTAGCATTCGGTGTCCCCACTTTGCAGGTTGTTACACTGACTGCAGTTGATACCACGTGGCTGGGCCAGCTCCATGTGTGTGAGCTGCATTCTGCTGCAGTCCTGGATGGACACAAAGTTGACTTTCACCAGGGGAAACACAGAAGAACCATTCTGATACACTGAGCACAGCAGTGGTTTAAAGAAAGCCCAGAGCCAATGTAGTTTGGAGTGCCAGAAAGAAAACAAGCCCCATCATACAACAAATTACATTTTGCAGCAGATAAACCTTGGCACCAGGGATGTGATTCCCTAATAATGCAACCACACATCCTGCATCATGAGGCAAGTTCATAAACCAGAGGCTTCAAAGGAGCTTCAATCTCCTCTGCCAGTGAGAAATTACTTGAACTTCCATTTAGATGCTGAACTGCCTTTGCAAATTGCTCCCACTGCCCACAATTACAGCCATTTGGGTGACAGTCACCTGCTGCTCCTCATCTATTTAACACCAGGGAGGAATGAAAAGCAGACAGAAGTCACAACTGGAAAACACAGACATCACTTAAAGCTTATTTCTAGTTCCAGGATTCAACAACTTTGGTTTTACAAGGTAATACTAAATCATGTATTTTATAAAATTAAAAGCCACTAGACTTAATTGTTTCTTTGGTAATTGGCAATTTGTAATACTCTGAACCTGAAGTCCAGCATTAGCAACTGATACAAGTACAGACTAATCAAAATGGACATTAAGTGCAACAATAACCTATAGGGGAGTTGACAGCTTAAACAGGAAGATCTTTCACTATTCGAGCATAGGCCTGTAGCTGGAGGTTTCTTTCAAGAGATTTCTGCTACTCCAATCATGCAAGAGAGATTAGACTATCTTCTTACAGGAGAAAATAAATTGTTCTGCAACATGAGATCAGGGCTAAATGATCTTCTGTTAAGAGCTTCACTGAGCAGACTGTCGAAATTTGTGCCCGGAATCTATCAGTGCTTAAATACTGATCTAAATTCTTCTCAAGCTTTCAATAGAGCAGCCTCAAACCATTTAGAAAAGAAAGCAACAGAGACAGCTCTCTCATTTCAGTTCTTTCAGTTCAGAAACACGCGCGCACACACACACACACACACACACACATAACTACCATGTGTTGGCCTTTGTAACTAACAATTTGCCAGCTGCTTCCCCAGGCAAGGCAGTTAGTGTTTGGTATTCAGAGCATTTGCAGACTAGGTTGGTGCAAAGGCAACCTCCTGCTATTCTAAAGAAAAAGCGGCCCTCTGGCCCTCACCTACTGCCATTACAAGAAAGTACCAGTAGCTGTAAGCAGCGATAACTCCTTATATCCTACCCACAGCTAACAGTGTAATGCATTTAGACACAAGATGTAACAAACAACACAAAAGCTTCAGCTTTGAATATCACAAAAATCAAGGGGGAAAAGAAATTGAAGGATTTTTTTCATTATCAAAAGGCTAAAGAAAGTAGCATGTTACTGTAACTCAGGCATCAGCAGAAAACAGTCCTCCAGACCTTGCTGCAAGCTTTCTGTTGCTGGCTCTGTAACCTGTCGATACAATGGCTGCTGTAAACAAAAAAATACATTAGCCTTGGTGCTTTGCAGGAGTACAGTCTCATTGTTGCCCAGGCTCCAGCTTTTACCTATTTGATCTTAGTAGAAACTTGTATCACTTCCTTTGCAATTCCCCAAGGGAAACAGTAAGTACTAAGGACACTAGAAAAGCAAATGGTACAGAAAAATACACCTTTAACTTCGCTATAGATATTACAAAACTACAGATAAGTTACTCATGTCAAAAGCACAAACTCAGCATCTTAGGAACCCTGGACAATTTCTGTTTACATAAGGCAAGGCACTTTTTGGAGGACACCTCCAGCTAATATTACCAACAAAAGCAAAAGCAGCACCAGTAAAGCTAATCTGTAACCACCACGCAAAATCCAGAACGCCAGAATCAGACCAATGCCTGAGTCATTCTATGCTTAAATCATAATTATCTGGGACTTCTTTTCATAGAGACAGGTAAACACGAAGCTTCAAGGCAGATGTTTTTACTTGCTTCCTACTTTAAAGGGTCCTATACTTCACAAAAGCACAAAAAAATTCCTTTCCAGAGCTTAAGACCCATGTATTGAAGTAAGCCTACAAGGTAAGTTTCCCTGTAAACCAGTCTCCTCCTTTAAGTGATACACTTCTATGCTCATGTTGGGACACGACACTCACCTACAATACACAGGTGGACATGTCCAGACTCCAAAAGAGATTGCACGATGATTTCATGCAACCACAAAGCACCAGAACTCAGTTCTGCTGTATGCCATCCGATCATACGTCAGAACCCAACACAGCCCTGCGATCCTACAGCTTCAGCTATTCTCACCTGGCAGGACACTGCATTTGAACGAGGAAAAAAAAAAAAAAAAAACCCAAACAGGAAAGCCAGGGACAAACAAGCTGGCAGCTGAGGAGGGGAGTGTGCACCAAAAGACAAAATTTTTGTCTGTAATTCTGCTAGAGATTTTTATCTGTCCACAGGAAAGAGCCTTTCCTTCATAGAAAGAGTATGACAATACTCTCAGAAAAGCTGCAGTGGTACAGTTCTTTGCCATTTCTCCAATGAATGAAGGGTATTCCTACAGCCCAGATTGTGCAGAGAAATAGGAAAGTCGCTACTATGACTCATCGCTCTCCTCAGATTTTTCAAACAGCTCCGGCAGCAGTGCTGACACGAAAAGCAAGAGCAGCGGAAGCCCCTGCTCTCTGCTTCCTCCTCCAGATTTAGGCAGCGTGGGTGTTAATTGTTGGGAACTGCTGCCCTCTGCTGTCACACAAAATAGAAGCGAAATTCTCGTCTGACAAAACCAGGTTTACATCTACATATATATTAAAAAAAAATACAGCACGATGATAACCACAAGGTCACAGTGCATTCGGATTTCAAATGGGTTCACTCAGGCCCATCAGTTCCGGTCTTACACATTTACAAAATGCCTGTCCCTTTTTGCATCGCATCCTGAGAGGCATCTTGCAAGCCAAACTCAGCCTAAAGGATGATTTTACCCAGTCCATCACACTTACTGCAGCTGTTCTAAGAGGCAGAAAAAAAAAAAAAAAAAAAAAAAAAAAAAAAAAAAAAAAAAAAAAAGAGGCTATTAGTCCATTCAGCAAAACACTTCTTACTGTCTGCAGATCTTCTAGTGGATTGTGAACATCATCAGGGAAAGTGCCAGCAAATATCCTGCCCCCAACACAGGGCTTGGACTAGACTGAAGGAATAAAATGCATTTCCATCATCCCTGCGGGGCCATATGCTGTTCTCTCCTTGTCTCAACCTTCACAGTGGCAGAGCCACTGGGAAGCTTTGCCAACCATTCTAAACACCGTCCAGACAGGGAAGCCTAAGTGAATTTACAGGCATGTTTTGAAGTTGAGCAAAGACTGAGGTCTGCATATAAGGATATTCTGCAGCCCTCAGGCAGAAAAATCATGGCCTCATTCTCCTTCAGTTATGTATGTGCTCATGATCAAAAAAAAGTGTAAAGGAAAGAGAAGATACACTGTGCTTCACAGCACATCTCCAGCCTATCAGAAGAAAAGCAGCACCCAGTTTGCCCTGAGCCCATAGCAGACACATCCCATCTGGCAGCTTACCTGACTTCCTCACCAGCGAAATCGAACACTTTGGTGATTGTCACTTTTCCTGAATCTTTTGGTTTCTCCTGAAGCTTCTTCCCACTCTTCTCTTCTTCAGCCTGCGAGACATATGAAGGAGAAAGCAAAACAATGCATTTGTGAAGCCAAGCCAAATCATCACTCTAAGGGGCCAAGGACAGACCCCAGGTAGCACAGCAATTTAGGCTGTCTGGTCAGAGCAAGTCACGCACAGACAAGAAAAAGGAAACAAATGCCCCTGCCAGAAGGAAATTCCCCACTTTGGTTGCAGGTCTCACTGGAGCTCAAAGATCAAAACAGACCCAACACAAAAGACTGAAATTGTAATTCAATGGAAGAAGGAGCAAGAATACACTGCTATGGTTCAGAAAGCAAGCAAAAGCCCGAAGACTTGATTCTTCCAAACTAAGCACCACCAGGCAGTAAAGCTGCCAGGGTCAATTACACAGAAATATGTTTATTTTCACTCAAGCATATAAAAGAACACAACCCATCATCAGGAAAAGCAAGGCTGATCTTCATAGAGAACCCTGAAGATCTTAAGCTGCTTGTCAATAACAGCTCTTTGAGAGGAAAATATCTTTATTAAGCAGTCTGCACCTCAATTTACTCAGTCACAACCACAGCTTTAAACAGCATACATAAAAAAACCTCAGACCCTATAAATAATTAAAATAAACCCCAGAATTTTTACTCTAAAGCAACCACACCACAGAGATCTTCAAGCAGACAAGTCCAAATTAAGAAGTTCACAAAGAGAACAGAGGAACTGCATTTCTCCGTAAATTATTACAGAGGAACTTTCAAAGACCACTCATTTTTATGCAATCTGCCATAAAAGTAGAATTGCTCAGAAGAGAACTTTTCCTCTCTCCATCTAATTCTACCTGTAACCATCTCAACTGTTCAGACAGTAACAAAGGAGGTGGAGAGAAGCAGCAGGGTTCAGATGAAAAGATTCTTCTTCTAAAGGTTTCAAGCAAAGATTACACAACTACACTTGTTCTGCTGCCTTCCAGCAGTTGCAGAAAGAAGCTTCACACAGTAAGAATTGTACTTGCCTGGCATCACTGAGTCAAGAGTCCAGACTTTTGTTATGAAATACTTTTTTCGCTGACCACTCAATAAATAGAAAGACAATTCTAGTGACAGAAGGTCAGTTTTGGTACCTTCATCACTTCTACCACCTTCTTTTAGTGTGAACGGTTTTGCAAGGCAAATACATGCATTTGGTTTTAAGAATAAAATCCTTTTAAATAGTTGATTACACACAGAATTCTCTCAACAGAAAACCTCTGCAGACAGAAAGCAAAATCATATTAATGGGGCTTATAAAGGAAACTAGAGAAAGCTAGGTCCATTCTTGTTACAATGCCCATTCTAACATGCAGCACCTTCCAGCCCTCTCACTGTATGAGGATGAAGGGGAAGGCACAGAGATGTCAGCACAGATCTTGTTTCCCTACTCACACACACACACACACACAGAGTCTCCCTTTTTTTCTGAGCATCAGGAAAGGCAGAAGCCTCAGGGGAGAGCTGTGCCCACAACCAACAGCTCAGACCGAAGTCCACTGTGCTGCTCCTATGTCACAAGGAGAATCCAGGACTGGGAAAGGAAGGCAACAGGGCTCGGTGGGACACTCTGAGATGCTGACAAGCAGCTCCAAAAGCAGTGCCACCAGATCACAGACTTCCCCACTTGGAAGGAAACCAGCAGCTTACAGTTTGCCCCATGGTGGGGCTTCAGGTTTACAAAGCAGATGGGGCAGGGATAAACCCTGCCTCTTCCCAGCTCTGACTGCCATCTGGTACCAGCTAGAACCAACGCTGTGTGGTCTAAAGCTTCAGGCCCTTCCCACACTCCCTGGGTGAAGGCCCAGGCCCTCGTTACCTTCTTAGCTTGCGTCACTTGTGTGGTAGCCCCTGCTTTGGGTTTCTGTCCCACATCACTAAGGAAACTGGCCCAGAGAGCATCCTCTTTCTTTTTTTCTTCTTCTGCTCTGTTTCTTTCCATCTGCTCTACATTATCCACTTCCTCTTCCTCCTCTTCATTCTGCTGAGCCTTTTCTTCCTCTTTCTCATCTGGCTCTAGCAAGAGACCTCCTTTCTTCCTCTTCCTGGAAGCAGATGCCAAAACCAAAAAATATAGTGAGGTGCTGCATCACTATTCCAGAGCTGAACAGTAAACATGGGTGAAGCAACCAGTATTTCATATTCTTACTAAGACATTCTACTTGGGAAGTTCAGGCCCATAATCTTGGGCCTGAAGCTGCTTAATTAAACGATGATACTGTTCACAAAACACAGCAACTGAAGCAGGCAGTCTCCTGAAACGGGCTGGCACGTGTGTGTGCATGTACATGGACTCTAGGATACTGTGGGAACCACGAGCAGAGGACAACTTGGGCTGGATAGAAAACAACCATAAATAAACTGTATATATAGGAGTTTTTTCTCCCACCTAAAAGTGTTTCACACTTAAAAAGGCTTATGAAAGAAAATATCTAGCTCCCGAGGAGGGTTTTCAGGCACGATGCCTTTCAAGCCCGAGGATCTCTGCCTCTGACATTAAACCAGAACGAAAAAAAGCGTTTCTCAGCCCCCCAGCGCTGCGCCCGGCGGAACGAGCACCGGCAGAGGCGGCTCCCAGCCGGGCCGGGCAGGGCCAACACGGATTCTCCCACCCGAGATACCGCGTCTGTGCGGCACCGGGGGCGGATCCGCCCACGGCCGTACCTGCTGGCG